CGACAAGAAAGGTCACATAATATTGATTGGCTGTTTATCATACAGTCTATCTATCTATCGCGATTAACAACACTTCACAACCTCTTCAATCAATTTCTCCTCCTTATCTAGCACTTAGCTAAAACCTCGCCTCAATATTGCTCACCTTATTAAACCACCCCCTAACACGGGAGATAGAACGCAGACACCTATAATCAAAGACAGCTAGCTAGCCTTTCCATGTCTTCCACTTTCAATGACCATGTGTCACAGCCAGCCATACGGGAAGAGATGGGAGTGAATTTCTGCGCAGTACACACTTCCTTTGATCGATAGGCATCCGGATAACACGTATCTGCTAGAGATGGTGTATGCCAAACGAGCCTCCTCTATCTGTGTATATTCTTGCCTTCAAAATTGTTCATTGATGATTTATCTTTAAGCGACACATTGACAACCAAAATGAAATAATATCAGACTAATAGTCTACTGTCTGAGTTACTAGTTCACAATTCTATGGTAGTTTCTCTATCGGATATATCACACACAGTAAAACAGTATCATTACTCATTAGATGGCGAAGTTTCGAACACCAGTCTATCATTGTTCATAATCACATCATCAATTATAACAACACAACTTCCAGACTTGATTTTTTTTAAATATTCCCCTCTCTTCTTTTTCGTTTGTCGTAGAAGTAATAGAATTTTCCGCATATCTGGGAGAACAGGTGTTAAATGATACCTGTTGCACGTATTCTCAGTTGATTTCATGAATAAAGTCCCAGTTAAATAAAACCAACAAAATGTGACACGGCGAAATTCCCAGTACTTGTTAACCTATGTATTAAAGTATCAATAGCTTGCTGTCAATTTTTATTATTATACCAAACTGAGATCTTAAGATCATAAACTTACTTCAGTTAGAGATATATTGAAAACTAGAGAAGAGTGGATAGCTGTGTTCGTCCGTGCCTATGACTCTTCAACAGGACGCACCCAAGATCCCGCCAGAGATGGAACAAAGGGAACTTCAGGTTACAGGTGACCTCATAGGCCAATGATTGACCCCATGAATTCAATCTTCTGCCATTTCTCGATGTAGAGCGCTTCTACCAGGCAACGTCATCAGTGACTTAATGGTTCCCGTTGGTTACGACTTCTCACTGCAAATTCAAGCAACTTCATTCTATAGTCACACAGTTGAGAGCACGAGTCCCAAACAAGGCCAAAACAGCTGTCCAGTACTCTCTGGTCCTCTAACTGGAGTCACTACCTGTTCAATATTGAAATACCTGAGGACCACCATTACAAAATAAGATCATTTCTGTCTGTCTGTCTGTATTCAACATAGAACTTTGCACCGATATGCGGCAGTTCAAGTCGCCACACTCCATTTAGCACACAAAGCAAGAGAAGAAAGTATAAGAAATGCAAAATAGAGATAGTAGACAGAGGTGTGAGACAAAGGAATAGTAATGACGAAGACCAATATAGTTTCATTGGAAATCGTAAGTCACAAGGAGTGGATGCATCTGCACCATTGAGAACGATTTTGAGCCATATCACCAATTGTTTCCAACCATTGGTTTTTACCATCCCGAGGACTCCAACCAGTCAGGCAATCAGTTTCCATCTTCCTACGTGTCTAGCTGGCTTAAACTAACTGTTGTAGATTTCATTGACTGGTGCCATGTTTTGGTTTGACCACCGCTAGCTCTTTTCCAGCCTGACCCTATGTCAGCTAACATTGTCTGTTGTCGAGGTAGACGATGTTTAGACATACATGCGTAACACATGTCCTAACCATCTCAGTCGATGTAAAATAAGATCATTTACTTTCGCATTCGCCTCTGAAAGCTTGACAGATTGATTTAAATACTCACTTCGTCCCCTTCATCATTCTCAGCTGGTCTTTGGAGTTCCTCAAATCACCAAATGTACCCATTTATTCATTAATTAAGGAAAACTGTATTTTCCTTTAATGCTGGAAAATAATAAACTGTTTTTCAAATATCTTTCGCCTACTATTCTCCTTTCTTTAAATGTTTTTCTCTTTCAGCATTATGATGGAGATGTATCCGATTTAGAATTTACCTATTCATATGCAGAAGATTGTTTAGGTCAAGTGATTATACATGACCTATGCCCTGGTGGACGGCAGATATCTGTAACAAACGATGTCAAGTAGGTTTGTCATTTATTATCTGTCTCTGTCTGTGTGGCTGTCTGTCTGTTTGTTTGTCTATCTATCTATCTACAGGGTGCTTATCATTGTCTTATTGTTTACTGTCTTTTGTGTTGTCGTGTTTTCACTTTCATAGTTGTACATGTTTTCATAACATACATTTTGGAAAATCTATACCTTTTGTGACTAATTCAAAATGTCAAGAACGTTCCTAGTCGTCTGTCTTACTGATACCTTAATTTGTTTATTTTTCACAGAATTTTACTGTCTTTCACGAATTTCAAAAAAGCTTCATTTTTCAGTTATAAAGAATAATGTGATATGTGATGGTGTTGCTACCCAAATAACAATATTCTAACCTCCCTGATATAATCTTACATTCGCTTTTTTATTGGAATGGGGGGGGGGGGGCTGGATCTTTGAAGTTTCAGTAACTATGAGGATGAGGTTGCTAGCCCACCTACCAGCCTTCCTTCTTCAACGGGGGTGTATTACAGGCTAAGAGAAGTGAAGGTGTGTGTGTGTTGGCTGGGAAACGAACACCCGGATCACGTGCGTAGTCGGTGAGCATTCTATCACTGAATTACAGACTCACAGAATGTATGTTGAAACAGAAGCATTTCAACTGCACTGTATCTTAAGAAAAAGTATTTATTGTATTTCATACTTCAAAATACATACATACATACTTCACAAAAAATCGAAAACTTACAAGCGAAAACTGACAAACTGGTCGAAGAAGCAGCAAAGACAGGACTCCAGATGAACATAGACAAGATGGAGATTATGAAAATAACCAAATAACCAACAATAACAGCAGCAACATCCAGCGCCAATCACTATCAACGGGAGGGATTTGAAAGAGGTTACTTCATTCACTTATCTAGGGAGCAATTGTCTCAACTACAGGAGGAACGGATGAGGATGTCAGATCGAGAATCGGGAAGGCGAGAAACACATTCATCAACCTGAAACCAATCTGGAAATCTTCGTCACTCAACATCAACAACAAAATTCGGATTTTCAATACAAACGTCAAGTTAGTTTTGCTATACGGATCATAAACTTGGTGGGTCACAAAGAATGAGCATTTCCAACAGGTTGCAGACCTTTATCAACAACTGTCTTCGCTCTATACTGAAGATCAGATGGCCGGAAAGAATCACCAACAAGAAACTATGGGAACAAACAAAACAAGAACAAAACAATCGCTCAACAAATATGCAGGAGAAAAGAGGAGATGGATTGGACACTCGCTGAGGAGGCCGCTGGGTGACATTGCGCATCAGGCCATAGCTCGATTGGAACCCCAAAGAGAAGTGGCGAGTGGTACGTCCAAGGGTGACATGGAGGAGATCGTATGAAGAGGAGCTGAAACAGTATGGATTAACATGGATGCAGGTGAAAAGTAAAGCAGAAGACAGAAGCAAGTGGAGACGTGCAGTTGAAGCCCTATGTTTCACTAGGAACCCAAGGGAACAATAATAACAATAATAATACTTCAAAAATCCTCTGTGAACTGTAAAAGTTACTGAAAGATTCCTGGTCTGCATGTAACGTAGACTGTAAAACTCCTGCGCCTTTCCATAATTTAACGCACTAAAAACCGGGTCACCTTTTAAACAAACGGTACTTTTGGTACAAATATGGAATTTTCAGCATAGAGTACAATATTGCATCTAATTTTCTCATTACAAGCATAATAATAAAAACAGGACATTTCGATTGATACTATTCCTGCCTTACACTTTCCTCATCACAAAAATGTGTGCTAAACAAAGTATTGTAGGGTTGTTGCACTTTGTCCGTCCGAGCGTAAAGTCTCCTATATTTTCTTCTAGTTCTACCTGATGAGATGCAACAAGGAGTGAATTGTGTGCAGGAGGTGATGCTCAGACTCCAACAAGATAAAATTCACTAATTTCTTGCACATGAGTCCATGTGTTTATCTGCAACATCATTAAAAAGTTGTTTTATCGACACCCCATTCGTCCTACTGACTGCTTGCAGTGCCCTTCGCAGTGTCAGAAAGTCTTTTATAAGTAGACCAGGAAAGATTAAGTTGAGGGGGGTGGGCAGCAGTGACGAAGGATACGTTGCTTTTTTACTCCTTTACGTTCCCACTGAAAAATAGGGCTTCAAGCTTCAACTTTGAAGTTTCAGTAGTAGTGGTGTTTACTTTTTACGGGGTGGTGGGGTTGCTGGCCTTACGCCAAACCTTCCCTCTTTGTCGGGATTCTAACCGGCTAAATGAGGTAAAGGTGTGCGCCAGCTGGGGATGGAACTCCTAATCACGTGCATGGTCGGTCAGCACTCTACCGACGCACGTGATGTGGAAAGACAAGGGAAAATCAGAGCGAATACGCAGTCCAAGGTATTCAACATTCTACTCTTTTTCAACTTCAGTACCATCTATGATAGTAGAATCATAGTAGAACGAACCAATTCATGTAAGTCGCACTTACGTCTCGATGTGAAATTAACCACCCGTCATTTGGAGGGATTTAGCTTGAGACTATTTGACGAGGACCATTAGCTAATTTCTAATAAAAGGCTGTTCATTTTGGAACAGTCTGACTGAGAAGTAACAGTCAGACTGTCGACATACTACTTAACAAGATTGGTTTCGTCAGGATGGGGCAAGTTATATAAGAAGGAAGGAAACTGAAAAGGAGAAAGAACAGGACCTTTAGGAGGACTTCTCACTATACACAGTGTACTGGTTCCTATCAGGAAATTAAGAATGTCACCGCTTATTAATTCAGAACTCTACATGTTTCACAACTAGCTTGTGTAACAAAAGAGGCCTAGGTATAGAGTCAAAGGTAGATGTATAATCAAGGATAGCACACTGAACATACTTGGAACCTCCGCCTAGATTAGAGACAATCGTATGATGTAAGACAACAGGGGCAACGTTATCACTTCAATATTTTCCTCTGTAAGGTTGGCCATTCAAAGTGGACAGAGCAAGAGTATATTGGCCTCAAGGTAACAAACGGGCCGATGGCCTTCATGCTATCGCAATCACTTTGAATGGGTGGATTTAGATGGGGGATGGGTATATTTATGCTTAAAAAATGTTTAGAAAAGTGTAAAAAGGTATTAAAAACAGTAGTTTTCTTTAACATATGGTATGACGGACTCCTATTATCCCATTGGAGGATCAGAGCAGAAGTCAAACCACATTCTATCCATCTTAATGGCTATAAGCCATTTCCTTTCGGTATTTGTTACTAGTTGGTGTTCTGTTCCTTAGGATGCCTAGAGCGAAACCTCCATGCATTCAGTATGATTATTTTTTTTGACATCGAAGAATTCTTCAGAATGGTTCGTTTTGAGACGGAAAAAACCCAGATAAGATAAGCTTTTGTAACCAGTCCTTTACAATATAGACATTCCTATCTGGTTTCACCAGTAGCTGTATCACAGACCCTAAGATGGGGGAGTTACGATTTGATATTCCTTCCGTAAATGCTTTCCTCAGTGGTTGTGTCATACAAACTCGCAACATTCAAACATGATTTGCTTGTAATATTAAATGATAACGTTTTGAGCACAAATTATTACTCCTAATCATATCGACTTGATATGATTATAAGCAATAGTTTGTGCTCGAAATGTCACCAGTTAATAGTACTTACTGTACAACACTGTGTGATTTATCAAAATAAAATCTTATCCATAATGGAGTCATACTCTATCACAGTGCCCAAGCTTTATACTTATATGATTCACTTGTGGTTTGAGGCCGACGTTACATGTTGATATTGCTTCCCAAATGACATAATTGTTTCTTTCTAACGAGACTATTATCTATGTGGAACTGAGAAAACTGTGTGTGAATAAATTCTATTTGATGAATTCTAAACAGCATTTATTGCTTATATGCTGAAGTTGATTTCATCGTTATAATCGTTTTATGTTGCCAATATAAACTGTGCGTCGGTGGCACAGCGGTACAATGCTCCCTGACTACGCATATGATCCGGAGTTCGATTTCCGACCGACTCACTCCTTTACCTCGCTAAGCCAGTAATAAGACTGGTAAAGAGGGAAGGCTGGGCATAAGGCTATCAACTCCATCCCGTAGAAGTAAACACCACTGCCACCGGGACTTCGACCCTCTAGCTTAAGCTTTATGTTCCCCTTAGAAGGTGCAGTAATAAAAAAGTATACAAACTCTAACTTGTGGCTTCCAAGTCGTAGGTGATTTTGTTAGCTTGGAGCCTTATATGTTAACTTTGCCCTCATTGTTTGTGTTTTCGTGTTTTAAAGAATAAATACAAAACAAACTGAAGTATATTTTTCTACTCACCTAACGTGTTTAAAAATTGATTATTATTATTATTACTCATCCCATGAATTCCAAGTCGAATATAGGGGTACAGCAGCACATCTTCATTTCATTTTCTTATCTTCTGTTTTTCTTAAACTGGCTTCATTATTGTCAAGAGTTGATTTGTAAGGATTCCGTTTGTTTTTCGAATTTGACCACGGATTTATATCAGTTAGAGAACCATTAAAAACCAGCACTGAAGTACTAGACAGCTGTTTCGTCCCAGTTTGAGAATCATCGGCAGTACACACCCGCCACCAGGATTCGAGTCCAGAACCTCCGGGTTACAAGGCAAGCTTGTATACGATTCAGCCACTGGGACCAGATTCAGTGGCCAGTCAGTGAATTCTAACTTCTACCAATTCGTGATGCATTTAGCGCGACCATCAACCAATGTCATCGGTGGGAAATCAATCCTCACTCCAGACTGGATGCACTTCACTGGTCATTATTGTCGACTAAACTCTCAGTTCCTCTTCATATGACCTCTTCTATGTCACCTGCATTCCACTCGAGGATTTTGATTTAAATCTTACTTAAATTGTCTCCTTAAGCGTATGTCCAGTCCATCTCCATTGTTCTGCATATCTGTTAGGCGATAGTTTCTTGGGCGGTTTGTTAACACAGTTCCTTATTGCTTGTTTTTTCTGACCTGCCATCTAATCTTCAGTGTGGAGCGGGAGGCGGCATCTGTCGATCATTGCCTGCAGTAGACTGATGGAAATACTTTTTCCTTGTTCCCTAAGAATTGAATTATGGAATTATGACAAATGTATATTTCGATTACTGAGAAAAAAGTTTATCGTAAAAAACAGATACCATAGCCAAATGACCTTGAATTAACCAGTCAGATTCTCCTAGGCGAAAAACGGCATTTTAGTATTAAAAGTGTATTTACAAGATGTATATACATAATAAAAATGAATTATACATTGTATATGCCTCTAATATGCTGTCAAACCGTTTTTTATATGTTCGGAATCCTTCAACAGAATTTATATACAGGTAACACTTGTAGGACTCACTAATCTTGATGAATGATTGACTTTATGAAGAATACATCCTGTCGATGATAGTTACAATGATCGACACTTCAAATGGACGTTGTTCTTAATCTTCGTTGGAAATTTCACCCTAACCCCTAGCCCTAATCTAAACTTAACTCGAAATCAGGGTGAAACATACAACGATGGCCATGAGATGCATCCTTTTTTAATTCTGAGCGGTCTGATTGGTTGGTTCAAGGTCATTTGACTGTGATATCTATTCTTTACTGTTACGAAAGTTTACTTCTGACGTTAAGTCATCAGTGGAATAAAATGAAAGTTTTAAATGGGTTTTTTTATTCCTTCACGTTCCCAGTGGAACACAGGGCTTCAAGCTATAGGCTTAAAGATTCTGTAGCAGTGTTTATTTTTGCGGGATGGAGTTGCTATCCTCATACCCAACCTTTCTTCTCTACCAGCTTTATTTCTGGTTTAGCGAGGCAAAGGAGTGCGTCGGCCGGGGATCGAATCCCGGACAAAGTGCACAGCCGGCGAGTGTCCTAACCGCTGTGCCACCGACGTACGTTTTAAATGGTAATCGTTCTTTTTAATTTTTTCTCCTTTCTTTTTTTTCAAATCTTTAGAATAAGTTATGTGCATAGTGTAGCACATTTTCGTATGTATAAACAAATTCGTAGTCAAACTGCCTCATTTATACGTGGATTTTATTCCATATTAAATCCTGATTGGTTGGCAATGTTTTCTCCACCAGAATTACAAACTCTTATATCAGGTGATTGTGGTTCTATGGATATTGATGATTTAAAGTAAGCCGGTGTATATCACTTTTTGTTGAATATTGGTATTATTCATTGTATATATTCTTTATTGAAATAATCGTATTTATAATAATAATAATAACAATAATAATAATGACGGAATATACACATTTAATCATAAGAAATAAAAAGACAGTTGCAACGAAGAAGATTTTCATTTTCGACGAAATCATCAACTAGACAGAACTGTACATTCGTGTATTTATAGTAAATGGGTGAGAACGTTCCAGAACTATTTCCGGTCAAAGGTCAAATTAATAAAATTACAATTAGGAATTAAAATGCCATAATAAACAAGGGGACGGATAAAGCTCAGGCAAAGTAGCATCGTAATTAATAAGAAGATTAACATATTGTGCAATTGGGGGTTGGAAATGTAGAAATAACAAAAATAGACAGGATTTTTGGATAAAAAAAACCGGTGGGATCATAATGTGACGAATAATTGTTTATGCAATGAGGGATTAAATATTTAGAAAAAATAAAACGACAAAATAGACAGGAAGTTCGGATATGAAAACATGGTACTGTAAATAGTGGAGGGATTAAGAAAAACTTAAAAATAACATAAATAAACAGGAAGTTCGAATAAGAAAGGCAATAAGATGGTTATTACTAAAAGAATTACCTGTTTATGATGGCCATGGCAGGTACAAGAGTTGGACGTATTTCTTTTGGATACATAGCGTGGGTTTGAGCTTTTGGATAGCTAGTGCCTCGGCTATGCCCAGACGTCTTGATTTCACTCCCTATGATAGGTTTTATCGAATCTTGTATATTATTTTGGAGGATTTTTCGAATGGTGCTGAATGTCCTGAATTGACTAGGTGTTCTGTCACTGAACCATATACACGTTTTTGATCTCGTTTTACTAGCCAGGCTGGATAGTGTTCACGAGCGTGTTTTTCAAGTTAATAATGGAGAAAATCTGTAGTTCAGATGGATGTGCGTTTAGTATTGTTGTTTTCTCCTAGGTGAATAGCTATTATTATTATTATTTTTATTCCCTCAGGATCTGAGACGAACATACAGGGCTTCGAAGGCACACTTCTATTTAATTTCATCCTGTTCTCCGCAGTCCTCTTCAGGTGGCTACAGGATTGCTCATAAGTTGTTATCTCCTCCTCACACCTTCTCCATATCACACTCCGACATCCAACTCGTCTCCTTTTGAAGTCAGTTTCCATCCTATAGGAAGATGTCTACATTAAATTATGTTTCAGTGAAGAAATAACCAATAGGATTTTAAGACACTGACTAAATTAGGTCATCCGTAATAAAACTTATTATGCAGCCTTCTTTATAATTTTCGTAAAAGTGTGAAATATGATCAACCACTAGCCTGAACATTGCACAAGCGATTAGCTCATATGCCATGCTGTTTACCGAATTGCATGTGTGTGGTTAACTCCATAATGGTTAAGATTTTATTTTGATAAATCACACAGTGTTGTGCAGTTATATTAACTGATGACGTTTCGAGCACAAACTATTGCTCATAATCATGTCAATGACATGATTATGAGCAATAGTTTGTGCTCGAAACGTCATCAGTTAATATAACTGCACAACACTGTGTGATTTATCAAAATAAAATCTTATCTCTAATGGAGTTATACTCTACCTCAGTGCCCAAGTTTTATACTTATATCAATGTGTGTGGTTACACTACATAGGGAGGAGTGATTGCTGTTTGCAGATGAAGGTGGGAAAACATATACCCAAATGGTCTAAACAGTTGAACTGTCAACTGCCGAATTCGTCTATAGCAAAGCCCTTAATTAACATGAATCACAATATTGATATTAAAACAGCTTTGAAGATTATCTAATATAATGTGCAGTGCCGATAGCTGTCCGTAAATTTAAGCTCTGCCCCCTCCCCGCCGATGTACCAAACCAATTGATTATTAATTGTTGGATTGTGACTAACAGTGGGATCCAGGATGCGGTTTCGGCGTCCTGTTTGGGACTGATCACTTGGTTGCACCTGTAATCTCCGCTGTGTGATAGTGTTTCCCACTGAGGCTGAAACTCGTCATCCGTAATAACTGATACTTGCTGCACAACGGCTGTGCGTCGTGGCTTTAGTGGCCTAGGACATAACGCTATGTGGTTTAAAAATAGGTGTTCGAGTTTCAGTGGGGTCAGCACCACACTGTGAACTGCAGGTACATCTAGATAACGAGTCCTAATTAGGACGAGATGCGCATCTTGAATTCTACTGCTAGGCATCATCCACTAAATAACGTCGTGTTAATCCTCAGGGATCTTCGAAGCGCCCCTACCATCAGGCGATATTATGAACAGAGATCGAACACTTCGGCTGAATATAATCAGTCAAAGGGGAAATACAGAACCTGTCTACGTCGGCAACTTTTATCCCGGTCATATTACCAAGAGTTGTGTTATTATCTTTCTTGTTCTTAAATTCCTTATCATTTTGTTTATTTTAACTGGTCTTTTATATTTTGTGCATACTGATCCGATAAGTAAATGTGCGGTTGTTCAGATTGTTTGTAATGTGTTGGCGAATACATCTCATTCTTTTTCTGATAATCTCCGTTTTTTAATGATGCTGTCTAAATCTGCTTAAGGGACTAATTGTTTTAGGGAAATTCTCTCTTTTATTTTGTAATATTTAATTGTGGGCATTTTTGTCAGAATATCTAGAAGCATAGTTGTCTCCTCAAAGTATTATATATGAATCAGTGTATTGGAGTTGCATCTTCTTTCACTATGGTACCTGTCGGACTGCTTAAATCATTGCACTAATTCTCTGTATAGTATTATCAGTCGAATTTACTCAATTGCACTTTGCTTTAACCGTCTATTTGTGTTCTTGAAGAACGATCTGTATTCATGCGTATTTTTCAATGTCTTCCAGTATACCGCTTGGTGTGATTTGAAGGGACCAAATACTTCGGGTGATAGACTATATATTAGATCGAAGGAAATTTTGTCAAATGATATACTGTACTGTAGAATACTGTTTTACTTGATGATTTGTTTACATAAGGAGTAGATAGTACCAGGCCAAAAATTCTGTTTTTCAATTATTGGTTTTGTAGGGATTTTGTTTGATTGCATGAAGGATTTCATCATGAGATGACATCAGTTAGAGAACCACTGGAAAACCTGGAAGTGCTGGACAGCCAGCTGTTTCGTCCTAGTTTGGAACTCTTCAACAGTGCGCACCCATCGCCAGGGTTCAAACCCAGGACCTTCTGGTTACAAGGTGACCACTAAGCCACTGGGACCCGATCCAGTGACCATCTCATGAATTCTAAATTCTTCCAATTCATGACATAGCGGGACCAATTCGTAATGTCTTCTTTGATGAGTTACTGCCTTACCTTCAACCTGTTGTACCTTACTGGTCACGGCTTCCCACTAAGACCCTAGGTAATTGCCTGAATAGGGTCATTCGCTAGTGATCGTGATTTCAATTTTCAAGTAGAGTACAGCAGGTTGAAGCTGAGGCAGTAACTCATCAAAGAAGACATTGTGAAATCGTTGCGCTATGCCATGAATTAGAAGTTAGAATTCATGGTCTGGCCATAGGATAGGGTGGGTCCCAGTGGCTGAATGGTCTACGAGCTCGCGCTGTAACCAGAAGGTTCCGGGCTCGGACCCTGGCGATGGGTGCGTAGTGTGAAGAATCCGAAACTACAACGAAACAGGTTTACAGTACTCGCAGCTTTTCCTATTGTTCTCTGACTGATGTCAGTTCATGATGAAATCCTCCAACCAATAAAAATTCTGTATTAAATATGAACTTGTTGTTCAGAATAAAGCTACGATTATTTATTATTATTATTATTCCTTTTAGGCAGCATACACGTTATTCCGGTGGATTTCATAGTAACCATCGTGTTATTCGTTGGTTATGGGATATTTTAAGACGTGATTTCGATGATCGTGAACGTAGTTTATTTTTAAAGGTAGATTATTACTATTGGTAGTATTGTTACTTCAGATTTTATTTTTATTATTTTAATTCCCTTGGGTTCCAAGTAGAACTGCATTTCACCCTGTTCTCTGTCGTCCCTTTTAGCTCTCCTTCATATCACTCTCGGACATACACCTAACTTGTTTCCCGTTGGGGTTCCATTCGAGTGGCTTACGTGATGTCACTCAACGGTCTCGTCAGCGCGCGTCCATCTCCATTTCCTTGTGTATATTCTTCGGGTGTTAGATTCATGGTTTGTCTGTTGACGACAGAGTTCCTTAAGGACTATGTCTTCACTGCTTCTCCTGCTAACTTGTTGCTTTTGAGCTATAGATCTTTGAGTTTGTGTGACATTGGACTAAATATAAGTCGTTCGCGTAGTCTAAATCTTCCACAGTCTTCTTGTTTGCCCAACGTATGCGCACACACATCCCCCAAAATCTCTTGCATTGTCCAGTTTACCACAATCAGGATATGTTATAATCCAAGTTACTTGAAGTATGAAGTTTTGTTAATAAGTATGCAGAAACGATACCTTCATCAAATGGAACTGTTAAAATCATTGTGACAAACACTTTAAAATAATTGTAATGTAAGAGTAGAATTTTTAGCCTTTGTGAGTGAATATAATTCCATGTTAACTGATTGAAAATGACTATTCAAAGGTTTTTCAAAAGAATGGTAACGGAACAAAGAATATTCTTTTCGATAACCCCTTCATCATCAGGTTCTACAGTTATAAATACATGATAGTGTGAATGAATTAGTGTTATTAGCAACATTAATGTTGTTTAAAAACATCGAATCAGTAATAATAATAATAATATCAATGGATTACAGTTCGACAGCATCAGCAATACTCACTGAATATTAGACAAATTAGGATAGATAATAATACAAGTTCATGAATTTAGAGTCTCCACTGAAGGCCAGTGAAGGTAGCGGTAGTGGCTTAACTTGCCTCTTCTGCACACAAAGCACTAGTTGTTTCACACGAATCACGATAGCCTCCACTGTTTGGAGCGTGCAGTACCTCGATGTTTTTGTCAATTTATATGGTACCCGGTAGATGGTTGACAAGGATTCTTCAATGCTGACTGTGTAGCTGATTTGGCTCAGTTGGTCTAATATCGAGCTGTTGATGGTTTTTAGTACACCTTTACTCAGCCATACTGGGAGATGTTCTCGAGTGAGCACGAAAAATCAAGCTCCTAGAGTGATGGCCGATATAACTCGCTCCATCACAAGCGTAGTTGAATTGGTAGATGCAATTAGAAGTGGTTAGTCTAGTTACTTCATCTTTTATTCGAGGAGTCGCCATCAGTCGTGTAGAAAATAAGACTCGTAGTTTACCATCATTAAAAGTTCTTTGGATAGATTTTCTTAACTTGTTAGCAATTATTTGACTAGGTGTGTCACTCTTGAACTGTAGTCGTATATATAAAGGTTTATTATTTACAGACAGAGAATAGTCCCCCGTCAATGAATATAATTCCATATTAGATAAGGAAAAAGGCATGTGAAGCCCTACGTTGAATTGTTAATAAGTCTGGAATTTAAAGTGACATTTAAACCAACTAACTTACTCAGAGATGAATTTCATCCGCAATCAAAGATTCATTATACCCACTTAGGCAAGGTAATATAATTTATCAAATACCGTATAATGACTGTGAAACTAGTTGCATAGATCAAACTAAGTAGATCGGGGTCAGTTAGGTAGGTTATCTGTACCGTAGAATTTAGCTAGGTACAAAGTGATCGACTGTACTAAGTAATCTGAAAAAGAGGGATTAGTCATTGCAATGTATTTACTTGCATATAGGCCATACTAAAATTGTAAAATAAAGCGAAAACAAGATGGCAGGTTAGATACTAGCATCTGTAGGAAACAGGTGCATTCTAATAAATACACTTAGAAGTTGATTCATTCCACCTAAAATCGGTAATGGTAGGTTTGTTTAAATGTTTATATATAATCGTGATAGGAGCCTAACTAGTAGTAAATTAAAAGATTTAAATAATGAAATTAAACAAATAAAAAAAATATATTATTCATGAGTAATTAACTACCCACTAGAATTTATTCAAAAATATCTAAAAATTTATGTGGAAAATAAGAGTAGTGATGAAAATAATAAGAAACTCAAGGGTTTACTAGAAGGAACATCACAAACCCTACGTGGGATTCTTAATGAAGCTGGAATTAGTCGGGGTGGCATTTAAACTAATTAACTCACTCAGAGACAAACTTCATCGGTTTAAAGATTTCATGAATCCAATTGAGAAATATAATGTAACTTCTAATGATTATGGGGTCAATTACACAGATCAAACTAATAGATCGAGATCAAATCGATTAGCAGGGCATAGGAATTTAACTAGACCTAAAATTATTGACCCTGCTTAGTTGAATAACGTAGAAAAAACGGAGCTCGGTCATTGCATTTCATTCACTTGCATGTAATCACAAAAGAAGGTGGGACAGTGAGAGTAGAGAGAGGTTAATCACTGGGTGTTTGTTCATCTAATTAACATCAAACACGTGCAGTTGAGATGACACGATATGATATGATTATGGGCAATAGTTTGTGCTCGAAACGTCATCAGTTAATATTACTGTATAACACTGTGTGATTGATCAAAATAAAATCTTATCTATAATGAAGTCTAGAAGTTGTGTGATGAATATATATTCATATGATTATGAAGAATAAATTGTGCTCGAAGTATTATTATTATTCTCTTGGGTTCCGAGTGGAACATAAGGCTTCAACAATACATCTCCACTTTGTCCTGTTTTCTGCTGTCCTCTTCATCTGGGTCTATGATTGCCCATAATCTCTCATCTCCTCCTCGCCACATGATCTCCTCCATGTCAGCCTTTCACTGACGACCCACTTGTCACTTCTCATTGGGATTCCACTCGAGTGGTGGATGGCCTGCATTGTGCGCGATGTCATTCGACGGCCTCCTTAGCCAGCGTATGCCCGATCTATCTCCATTTTCTCCTTCATATTTGTCGAGCGAGCTCGAATTATTATTATCCAGTTTTTCTTACTGCATCACTGTGTGTTATAGCAAATAAATTTTTAGACGGAAAGCGACTAGTTCCACTCATAAACATGCATACAACAGGGTAAGACAGAAGTTTAGCTGTAAAAAGTAATATAGAGTTAGCTAGAAGGAGATAGAGCTATCTGATCACTACATTTTTGCTCATCGAATCTGCACCTAACACATGCAAACGCAACGCCATTACCGTAAATATGGAAAATATTACTGCCAATAAAATCAAGGGGTGAGAAATAATTGGACTGTAGAAATATAGTCTGAAAGGTATATGAGTGCTTTGATATGATAATGAACAGCAATAAATTGTGCTCGAAAGGCAATCAATAAATAGACAGTACTGTATCATTGTGTGGTTTTTATCAAATACATTTATTCTATGATGGAATTGTATTCTACCGCAATGCCCAAATTCTACTCTTAAATTTCTGGAAAGGTTTTTTTTCTTTTATTGAATGCTTTATAAGAATAAATAAAGTGTTGGATTATTTGTATAACTTCACACAATGATCATTGATCTTGCTTTTCTATTTTTATAAAAATTATTTTAGTTTGTAACTAGTTGTTCAAGACCACCTCTGTTAGGTTTTGCAAATCTGGAACCACCATTCTGTATACGTTGTGTGCATTATACAAATGAAGATCAAGTAAGAATTGGGTTATTATTATCATTTTTGCTGTCTTGTCTTGTTTATTATTATTATTGTTCCCTTGGGTTCCTAGTGGAACATAGGGCTTCAACTGCACTCCTCCACTTGCTTCTGTCTTCTGCTGTACTTTTCACCTGCATCCATGTTAGTCCATACTGTTTCAACTCCTCTTCACACGATCTCCTCCATGTCACCCTTGGACGTCCCACTAACCGTTTCCCTTTCGGGTTCCACTCGAGCTATGGCCTGACGTGCGATGTCACCCAACGGCCTCCTCAGCGAGTGTCCAATCCATCTCCACTTTCTCCTGCATATTTGTTGGGCGATTGGTTCCTGTTTTGTTTCTTCCTATAGCTTCTTGTTTGTGATTCTTTCCGGCCATCTAATCTTCAGTATAGAACGAAGACAGTTGTTGATAAAGGTCTGCAACCTGTTGAAAATGTTCTTTGTGACCCGCCAAGTTTCTGATCCGTATAGAAGAACTGACTTGACGTTTGTATTGAAAATCCGAATCACGTTGTTGTTGATGCTGAGTGACGAAGATTTCCATATTGGTTTCAGGTTGATGAATGTGTTTCTCACCTTCCCGATTCTCGATTTGACATCCTCGTCCGTTACATATGCCTGTAGTTGAGACAATGCTCCTTAGATAAGTGAATGAAGTAACCTCTTTCAAATCCCTCCCGTTGATGGTGATTGGCGCTGGATGTTGCTGCTGTTGTTGTTGGTTGGTTATTTTCATAACCTCCGTCTTTTCTATGTTCACCTGCAGTCCTGTCTTCTCTGGCTGCTTCTTCGACCAGTTTGTCGGTTTTCGCTTGTAAGTCTTCGATTTTGTGTGACATCAAACATAAATCATCCACGCGCGAAATCCAGGTCTTCTAGGTTCTTCACGTCGGTCCAGGATATCCCTGTCTTCTCGTTTCCCACTGTCTGACGCATAATCCAGTCCACCACAATTAGGAATATCATTGGTGATAATAAGCACCCTTGTCTGACTCCTGTGTTTACTTTAAACGCCTCGCTGAGTTTTCCGTTGTGGATCACTTGACTTGTCTTGTTGTCTTGTTTAAACTCCTTTTAATCTCTGACATGACTCCGTGAAGTCTTTGACTGTTGTAGTGAGTTAGCCACATATTTATGTAGGTGTAGACTGCCTGGTTGTGATGCTTGGGATTCTAAGAACCAATGTGGGTGAAGACTACTGGTGAGATATGGCGCATAATCGTTCTCAATGGCGCAGATGCATTCACTCTCTATAATCTCCCAGATCCATCAAGTCGGCATAGTTTTACCTGTTACTTTATCTTTCTCGCATACATTTCTGCGCATTACATGGAACTTACGAATCTGCTTTTTTCTATACCTTTGTATTGTACCGCATAGAGTATGGCAACTTAAACTGCTGGACTTCTGTGGGAAGTTCTACGATGAAACTCAGTTACTGGGAATCAGTTCAAGCTGTAAATATTTCTCATTATACATAAGTAAAAATAGCTATTGTATGATGTATATTAGAACATAAAGCGGAGTTATAAAATGTTATTCATTGTTTTTTAAGTGCTAGTGATGCCATGTTGTAAAATCAGACCCGCATCACACTTTTCTCCTAACCCTTATCTCATAACTACATAGATTTATTCCATGTTTTAGTCTGTCTGTCTGTCTGTTTTCAATATATGCAGCAGTTCAAGTCGCCACACTCCCTCCTTGTAGCACACAAAACAAGAGAAGAAAGTAGAAGAAATGTAAAATAGAGACAGTAAACAGGGATATGAGACAAAAGGAATAGTAATTACGAAGAGCAATATAGTTTCATTGCGTATTGTAAGTTGCAAGGAGTGGATGCATCTGCACCACCCATTGAGAACGATTTTGAGCCATATCACCGATTGTCTCCAGCCTTCATTGGTTTTTACCGACCCGAGGACCCCAACCAGTCAGGCAGTCTACACCTTACTACGTGGCTTAAACCTAACTGTTGTAGATTTCATTGAGTGATGAAGCCATGTTTTAGTTTGACCAGCCTGACCCTATGTCAGCTAACATTGTCTGTTGTCGAGGTAGGCGATGTCTAGACATACATGCGTAACACATGTCCTAACCATCTCAGTCGATGTAGCTTCACAGCCTCGTCGATTGATTTCCCCTCCCACCTACCTAGCACTCTACCGAAGCCTAACCTCAGTATTGCTTACCCTACTATACGACTTCACATGGTAAGGAGATGGAAGGCAGGCACGGTGTGGGTAGCCGGGGAGTAACAACAACGGTCCACACACTTCCAAAAGCACATGAAGCCTCTCCGAGAATCATTTTTCATATTGATGCTTTAGTCTGCTTACTTTCACAATTAAGTCGTGTATTGGTCGTCAGTGCGCTTTGTTTTAGCTCAGTTGTTACAGATTCATTGTGTCGCTAGATATTTCCCTACCTTCCTACTTTGTTATTACGTCTAATCGAAAAGTACTAATTCTGGAATCCTACATGGACATCTGTGTATGGTTGTTTAGTCATAGCTGAGTTTCAACAAAGAACTTTGTACAGAAGTGAAGCGCTTCAAGTTGCCACACTCTGCATAGCTCGCAAAGGTAAAGGAGATAGAGTCAAAAGAACTGCAAATAAGCAGTTGCAGCCTTTTGATTACCATCAATAACTGTATGTCTCAACCATAATGTAGTAATACTGTGTAGCTGTACGATAATATTGAATGAGTGATTAACCATCTTCACACCTCTGTTTTTTTTCCCATCTCAATCCTGCTCCACTTACACATTACTGTTCTAAGATTTGGTGTCTTATGTTTAAGATATATTTTTTTAAACTGTCTCAGTTAAAACAGGCAGATTGACTTGCCCTGCTATTATTTAGCGCTATGTTCATTTTGCGGAGATTGTTTCCTGGAAGTGTAGTTTTTTATCAGCAGTTTACATGGGGTAGTTATGTTATAAAATTTTTATTTTTATTGTTCAAATACTCGATTAGCTGTACGGGAGGTTCAGGGGGAGAATGCACGTTAGCCATACACGTTGTCCTAAGTTCAATTCCCGGCAGATGCAATTCTAAACCTCATCTAGCTGGTGGTAGTAAGCTCGGAGAGGAGGGATGGTTGGACGTGGGATTCACATGCTGACTCCTTTGAAATGACACACAAGCGCTGCTGAGACTTCAAAGCTTAAAAGATAGGTGACAGTACTATGTCCCACTTCGAACGCAAGCATAAATATTTTCATACTTACAAAATAATAAAAACTGCCCCCAAGGTTCTGTATTCTCACCATTTCTCTTTTCTTTTTTTCTACATGACTTACCATCTTCAAATGACATTAATTTTGTTAAATATGCTGACGATCTGACTGTATCTTTGCCTGTCAAGTGTCAAAGTGAGTGCTCCAAACTGAATGGCTTTTTATCAGAAATCAGCCAGTGGTCCAAGGAAAACGGACTTACCTTAAATCCTTCTAAATAGCAAACAGTCAATTTCACCTTCAGTCATAAATCTGACCTAAACAAACTGGTTGGGTCTCACGAGGTGTGCAACATGGATGGCACTGAAATAGAAACCAAGTCGGAAATTAAATATCTTGGCGTCATTCTATCTGCTGATCTTTCCTGATCGTCTCATATCTTGATGATTTCTAAGAAAATATTCCGTCTTACCTTCTACATCAAGAAGTTAAGACATTCTGGTGTAACCCAACCCTTACTCCTACAATTCGTTATCTCTCGCATTCTGCCTATTATTCTCTATTGTTCCCCCTTAGTTTTTCCCGGGTACTGAAGAAAGACTATAACATATTACGCAGGATATTAAAGGTTGTCAGCAGGGTAAGCAACGTGCCACTTAACCAGCTTGTTAATATTCTGGTCGACAAGCACATGGACTCATGTGAAAAATGGGCCAAATCCATTTTATCTTACTCACACCACCCTCTTCACTCACAACTCTCCCCTTGCATCTCATCAGGTAGGACCAGAAGCCTGTATAGAAAACTATATGCTCGCACCAGCAAGTACAAAAACTCAACCATACTCTACTTAGCTCGTGTTCTGTGCGATAAAGAAAGCACGAAGCGTAAAACTTATAACTTATTAAACAGTCAGTAGAATAATTGGATCTCGTCTTTCCAACTCATGTCATTTATAGGTACAACGTTTTCTTCCTTTCTTTTTCTTTTCTTTCTCTTTATTTTGCTACGTGCTGTTTTGTTTCTCTCTTCCGTACAAACTTTACTCAAAACATTCTTCTTCGTTCATTCACACTTTGTATATCTCGACCTTTGGTTACCGCTTACGCCAGTAAATATGCTAGTATCCACTTTTCCAACACCTTCAAACATTCTGTTCACTTTTGCCTTTGCTACCGATATGCTAATATGTTGTTGTCAAAATTAACTGAGAATACCCATAATCTACGAAGAATTTTATTTATTGTTAATGTACTAACTGGATGCAGTACTGTAGTGAAATACTGAGAATTCCATTCTGTATCACAATTAGTGTTTTGGAATAAACCAAATTATTATTATTATTTTAATTATTATCATTATTATTAATATTCTATTAACTTACCATCTTGTTGATCGTTACCCGGGTCGATAGATATATGATTCGTTGACCTAATCAGGCAAATTTTAGTCATTAAATGTCAGGTTCAAGTCACGTTCCACATATTTCATTTTGCATAACTGTGTAGTATCGTGGGGATTAATTTAGACGTAGATTTTGTCACTCATCGACTTCACTTAAAGAATAATTGGGAACCAGAGAGTGGAGCGTTGGGCAAACTGTTTCATCTCTACTTTACGACTCTGAAGCAGCGCATACCCAGGACCGCTCCATAAATCAAACCTTGGACCTTCTATTTTTGGTTTGAAGGTGATATTGTGGAATAGAAAGTCCCCCATTATTCATAGAACTACAATAAGTAATCATAAATATCTATTTGCCTTCTCCTTATTTTCATAGGATGTTGGAGATACTCTAGGATCAGTGTTAAAAGGATTTCTTGGTGTTGTTGGACGTCGTGAAGAAGTCTCTCGTCTGCCGACTGCATCAACTTGTTTTAATCTCCTTAAACTACCGAATTATTCATCTCGGAGTGCATTGAAAGAGAAGCTGAGATATGCAATAAATAGTCATGCTGGCTTTGAGTTATCATAACTTTTTTTATTATTTTTAATTTTTGTCTTCTATTACACTGTGTTCAGTTTGAGAACTGTAAATATAATTTCACTTCAATTGACGCATTTCATTGTCCAGCGTTGTTATTTTTTCTCTCTCTCTGTCTCTCCTTTTCTTTTTGTAATTAAACCGACTGTTTTATGTTTCATTTATTTTTTATTTGAGTTTTACACTTTTCATTTTCCTTTTGAAATGTGAAACTTCATACCTGAGTTCATTTCTTCATTGAATAATATAATGAGACGTGTTTCATAATAATAATAGTAATAATAATAATAATAATAATAATATATTTCATAACTGTGATGACAATTTCAGATAAAGTTCACGAATTTTTCGTCATCCTTGTCGATTCCTTTCAGTGCTTTATTAATAATATTTCCGTTATTTGCTCTTGTGTTTCTTTCTTGAATAATAATAATAATAAAAAGGCTATCCTTCTCCTGAAATTTTGAAGTCCTTTCTGTCTGAGAATGAGAAACGATTGACATGATGTCCAGTCGAAAATCTCTGCCGACCCGGCGTGTAGTTTTAGGACAGAAGGGATTTGTGGGCTGTTGAAAGCATGTGAGTGGTTATTACTTTCCGGTAGCCAACACCATAGGAGTTGATTTGTTCTTAGGGTACCTGAGGAAGACTTGTCACTAGTGTTGCCTGACCACAGAGCCAGGCCGGTAACGTGTGATCTGTTTGAAGTCGTTTCTGGAGTTCCGTTCTCATTGAGGTCATACTGTAACGACAGAAGACAAGGGCCAGGCAACAGATCGTTCATTGAGAAAATCAACAGATATTTATAGATTTTAATTGAATTTTAGATTCGCAGATATATCACCGGACTGTCTAAGAAACGACAACAAAGAGATGACAGAATAACCTTCAGCAGGAAAACAACCAATCAGAAGACATTGCTTCTCTGCTAACAATAACGAATAATAATGTACATAAAAATCTATAAATTTAATTGGCGGATAGTGACTAGCAGTGGAATCCAGGATGAGCATTTCGTCCTATTTGAAGCTCCTCATCTGGATGTGCCTGCATTTCCCATTGAGTGATGATGTTCCCAACACGGAGGCTCAAACCCAGTGCCCATAGTTTCAAACGCCAAAGCGTTATCCACTAAACCACTTGGGCCACCAGAGCCACCTCTTGTGCAACGGGTCATTTTAATTATTTAACTGAATTTTAATTTTCCCGTCGACTGATTGGACCGAAGTGCTCGGTCTTAGGTCCAATCAATTGACGGGAAAATTAAAATTCAGTTAAATAATTAAAATGACCCGTTGCACAAGAGGTGGCTCTGGTGGCCCAAGTGGTTTAGTGGATAACGCTTTGGCGTTTGAAACTATGGGCACTGGGTTTGAGCCTCCGTGCAACTTCACCTACAGACTCCCTGCATAGTGTTAGCAGCTTACACTATGACGGTAGCTACCTTCAGTCTAAACTGCTATCCAAACGACTTTTGTAGAATGGTAGGACCTGCAGGAGCACTAATTACAACTAACGTAGCTCATTGGGTCATTGCGGTGTCCAAGCAGCTATCGGTAGGAAAAGTAAGTTTGAGATTAACTAGATTAGATACAGCACCAGCTGACTCAAAATAAATTCCCACAAAATTCTAAGATATAGTGCATGTAGGCCACCGCACTTTGACGATATTCCCACCTAGCAGCATCACAGTGTTAAACTAAAATGCTTTAGATCCTATGCACTGATAATTTCTGATAAAAGTGCAGCAAATGTGATACAGTTCAAGAATAATGATGGCACTGATAATATATACTTCAGGAAAAAAATTCCTAATGTAAAGTTTCATTAAAAAACGCATAAAAATAAAGCTTGTCATTAAACCACCACAGTAACGGACTAGGACCGCCTACTGAAAGTGGCCAATGATTTATACCCAATGTGAAGCAAACCGGAGGAAAACGAAACGTTATCAGAAGAGGCGGAGAAGATAGGATTTCAAGTGAACATAAAGGTAGTGAAGATACTTAACCAACAATAAAAACAAGCACTGACCACCATTAGCGGAAAAAACTTGGAGGAATTTACTTCTTTCACTCATCTGAAAAGCAAGACAGGCTTTCACTCTGAAATCATTGTTCGTATGTGCGCTTAACACAAGTAACAACATTGAGATTTTCAGTGCTAATGTCAGGTCAGTGATTGCATTATGGTTCAGAAACTTGAACAACGTGTCATTCTGAGCATTTAAAACAGTGTTCAGACTTTATCAACATCTGCTTTCGCTCCATACTGGAGATAAGACTGCCAGAAAGAATCAGTAACAAGAAACTTTCAACAGACCAGCCAACAGTTTACCACTTGAAACAATGCCGAAGAAAATGGAGGCGGACTAAGCATACTCTAAGGAGACCGCTGCTGAGTGAAATCACGCAAATGAGTTGGAAGTGTACCCGAAGGTGATATTAAGAGAAGATTAATAATAATAATTTTTTATATAAAGAGGAAAGTGTACATGAAATGAATGCAACTTTCACAGGCATGGTAAAATTGATAATCCTGAAATATCGATAGATCAGCAATGTTTTGATACTTTAAATAGTTGAACCGTAAAATAAGCCATTAGAAGAGGTCTATACAAATGTTAAATTGCATAGCCGTCATAATGGTCGAGCAATCCAATGGATAGGGACTCTAGAGGAAGCTTCGTTGTTAAGTCAAATTATAACATCCATGTGAGCTTATTGGAGAAACAGCAAGCTCAGTGCCCTCCAGAGCAGGAGAAATAGCCTCAGTCAGCAACGAATTAGTGAAGTCTCTGCCAGAGTCGTTGATATTACAGATATAACCACCCAAAAGTCTCAGTCACAACCCAAATCTGGAGGAGAGTAGAAAACCGTAGGATGGCTGAAAAGTGAAGAAAGTCACCTCTGGTGGATGACTGGAAATAACCATATAAGGAAGAATAGCAATCACAGTAAACGTGGACTTTTTGTCAGGTCAGTCATCTTCCACTTAGTGGAAGAAGTTAGCGAAGGTTAATTAGATTAGAAAGTAACCTTGGTTTCAGTAGCTAGAATAGATTTATCAGTATAAATCTGATGAACGGTAACAAAAGGCGATCCTCTTCAGGGCTATAACAATATTGACTGGAGTGGTTTCGACGACTATAATTAACATTATTTTCGCTTATCTTTACGTATGGTATTTAAATCTTGCATGAATTTAGGCTGAAGTCTTTGGGTTCAGCAACTGGAATTACAACTTTGTGTAGACAGTGTGCTGACGTAACCAGATGTTACCTGAAGAATATATTTTATATTACTTCTAGTAAAACAGAATTGTAGGTCAGTCTTAATTAACTTAAAGTGGCAATCAGTTGGAATAAAATAATTTCATTGTGTTCCTTGAGGTGGGAGTTCGAGTTTTGGTTGTCGTACCAAAACAACATATTCAGACACAGCTTCATCGTAAAATAAACTTCTCAAATACTCAATAAATAAAATAATCTTCTATCATGGTGACGTCGGTGTGGTATAGGATCATTGACCTACATTGAGATGTCTTTTAGATGCTCATTGATTTGACCACTAGGATTCCAGAGATCTTAAGCTATTCTAAGCATTTTGATCATTTAAAATTTCTGTCGTCTGCTGAGTTTGACTGTTTTCAGTTATCCACATGCATTGCATTACGCATAATATCCCTTAATAATAATTATTATTGTTTCCTTTAATTCCTAGAGGAACATAGGGCTTCAGCCGCACGTCTCAGTTGCGTTCGCTTCCCTGCTAACATTTTGTAACCTGGCTCCAAGTCTGCCCACATGCTTCCATCTCCTCTTCACATGATCTTTTGATAACTAGTTTATATTCTTGGATGAAAAGATTAAGAGTGAGTGGTTTAGGCTGCATTCAGTATAGCATCTTTTACGGTTGGCGCAATTAATCCGATTAAATGTATGCCTTATGTCTTTTTCTCTTGAATAAGCTGTCTACTTTGATTTTAGTGAGAAATATTTCCCAAATGGTTTCAGTGTCCTCTGAATTCACGAATTTTCCCGCAAAAGCCACAATAGGGTGGAGGTCTGCAGAAATGTATTATTCTGAATGGAAAAACCAACTTCTGAACTGCAACACTCATATAATCCTGAATCTTCAATTTTGAAAATGTCTGCCTATTCATTGAGCTGCTGATTTTCGTTTAAGTAGTCAATAGGATAATACTCAAAGTTTTTCACTTGTGAAATTGAGAAGAGTACGTGTGGTGTAAAGTAACGCTTACAAAGAACTACGTTCTGTGATTACCACTGGAAAATCGATGGCATTTAGATCGTGCCTTTGTGTTAATACATTTTACAGTTATTAAGTAACACAGGCATACATTAAAGTTATAACCAAAGCATATATATTCATAAATATCTAGACTGTGTTTTAGGAGTTTCGTGGCTTAACTTGAACACCTAGTCAGATTAAATCATTATAAATTACTTAAAAATATCCAGGCTTGCTTAAGAAAAAATCATAATAACATTTATTGAATGCGGTAGACAGGTGAAGATCAGAGTGAATGAACATAGGCTATGCACGAAACGTCTGTTTAGAAGTGAAGTTAAATTAGGGAGTCTTGAAAAAGATTAGCTAGTGCAATGCACGCTATAGAAAGCAGATATAATATCGCTTTTGACATACTCAGGAAAAACTAGGAAAGGCTTTCATTCACATACAGAAAGGCTGACGTCTGAAGCCTTGCATATTTTAACCACATTGAATGCAGTAAATAGGAGAGAAGGGATAGATTTGTCACCGATATGGCAGACTCTGTTGAAGCAAAACAGATAAGGGAGGGAAAGAATTCAATCCTATGTTGTGAGGTCTGTAAAATACTGCCATGTTTTTCACTGGTGAACTGACGTATTTTCCATATAACAAAGAACATACACACTCATGCACACAAATACTCATATATGACAATTTGACATTAGTCATTACATATATGTGATGACTGTCTACCGACAAGTGACCTTCAAGGGTGTTCACTTCAGTTTATGTTATTTTTAACTATACACTTGGATAGTTAATAAGATCTGATGAAGAAGCTGTGGCTTACACAGCGAAACATTCAGGAAAATCTAGTTTTCCCAAGCTTACTATAATGCTGAATTAAATCTCGCTAATTCTGAAATAATTCTAGCATCCTATAGTGAGTACATTCTGAATCTGTTCTGAAATGGATTCTTTAATGGTACATACTAGAACTCAGTGCTGGTTTTCAGCATTATTATTATTATTATTGTTTCCTTTAATTCCCAGAGGAACATAGGGCTTCAGTTGCACGTTTCCATTGCGTTCGGTTCTCTGCTAACGTTTTCACCTGGCTCCACG